CACGAGGCCCTCGGATGGTCCCTCGCGAAACGACGATATGCCGACGACGCGGTGCAGAAGAACAACGCCTCGAAGCCAGTGGATGCCGCAGCTGCGCGGAGGACCAAGGAGGATCTCGACGAGGAGGCGGTGATGGACCAGCTGGAGGTGCATTGGCGAACCTGCCGAAAGAACAACCGAGCCCAAGGCGAGGAAGGGAACGGACGAGGTAAGGAACCCGGACACAGAGCTCATTGCACTCTTCAGGCGATCAATCGGCGGGGAAGAAGAAGGAGAACGCTCGGGGTAATGGAGCGCCTTTTTGGGTGACAAGCAGCCAAAAACCAGCCTTGTTTCCCCTAGCCGGAGGAGGCTGCGGGCCGGCCGACTTCGGGCATTCCCGGTCGGAGCAGGGGGTTTCGGGGAACTTCGAACCAGGCCTCCAGGGGCCAAACCCCCGGGGCCCCGGCATTGATGAAGGACGGCCTGACGCCGAGCCAGATGGAGCACCTGTACCGCGAGGCTCGATCCCGCCTACCGTGTCCGACGCGACGCCCAGCGCGACCTCGAGGTGCTCGCGTCCGGCGGCGGCCTACTGGCCGACTCGGCGGCCGCCGACGTGCTCGGCACCGACGAGAAGGGCCGGTCTTACAAGTACCCGCTGCCCGCGCCCCTGCCGGAGAACAGCAAGCTTCAAGCCCGGTATCACCCTGTGCTGGAGCAGCTGACGAACGTCATGATGAGGCACGGCAAGAAGAGCGTCGCGCAAAGGGTGAGTTCTCTCCCCCTTCCCCCCCCGGCACAGCAAGCCGAGCTACAAGTCGAGCTACAAGTCGAGCTACAAGTCGAGCTACAAGGGGCACATCAATATTTGACAAAAAAAGACATGTCACTAACACGTGCACCCTCCTTCGCAGAACATGGCCATGATCCTCAACCACCTCCGCACGGCGCCGGCCCCGATCCTCAGCACCAAGAACCCCCTCATGGCGGGCCACCCGCCGGGCTCGCACTTCCCCCTCAACCCCGTCATGTACCTGACCATCGTCATTGACAGCGTGGCGCCCCTCGTCAAGGTCCGGTACATCCCCGGCGCCGCGGGCGGTGGCCGCGCCCTCGAGATGCCCGGCCCGCTCGCTGTGCGACAGCGCCGCCGCCTGGCGTTCCAGTGGATCCTCGACGCCGTCGCCAAGAAGAGGTCGACGGGCAGCGGCCGGACGCAGCTCGCGCACCGCATCGCCAACGAGATCATCGCCATTGCCGAGGGTCGGTCCGGCGTCTGGGAGAAGCGGATTGCCGTGCACAAGCTCGCCACGTCGACGCGAGCTAACCTGACGGCGCAGCAGGTCAGGACCGGCACCGGTAAGAAGTAGGTCTAAGGGAAGTTTTCCTCTCTAGAAAGAGGAGGGGAGGCTGCATGGGGCCGAAGCCGGGGGGGGGGGGCCGCTGAGAGGCGCTGACGAGAGCCGGCCGGCTCTGGGGCTGGCCGTTGTAACAAAATGTTTCGGTGTATCTGTTGTACTATACCGGCTGTACAGATGGGTTTCCAATGATGAGAAGCTTGTGCCATGTCACTTCGGTTTGGTTCGTGTAATTTGTTGATGAATGACGTGCCTAGATGGTACGATTCCCTACCCTTTGGTGACAGGTTTGCTCGTAGAAGGTGAAGCAAGCTGTTCCTCTTCAGCATGCCATGATGTATGTAACCATTGGCTAGGGTCCTGCTGTTTCGCCAGAGTGCTGAAGCGACACTTCATCCGCCAGCGTAAGTGGCTAGACTGTTGCCTTGTTGGCTCGATCTGTCTTTCATCGCCTCAACAGCATGTCATCTCCGGCTTAGATTCACGGCGTTCCCGCTGCTTCACAGTGCAGCCGATATGATGCTATTTGCTTTGCACATCCGAGTACTTCGTGGTGCCTGGGCGTTAGGGTGCTAGGCGGGGCGTGTGACGGCCACTCTCCGGCGTATCCGTGGGCGACTTGCAGACGCAGGGGCGTAGACTGGTGTCCAAGGCCGACGAGACTCGTCCTAGATAGAGCATGTATGAAGCCGTGCGAGTGAGTGAAGCCATGCAAATCATGCGTGCAGCCCTCATGGGAACGCGGTGAACCTCTGCTGTAGCAGAACGTCAAGTCGCCCATGCCCTGGAGCTTAAGGGAATGATCCAGTGTGTAGCATTGAATAAACTTGAGTGGCGTATTGCTTCGCACATACGACTAGCTGTCTTTATCCTGACAGGCGCCATGTTAACGATGGGGAGTCTGGGCGACTGTTAAGCATATTTTTTGGTGTGCCAAACTCTTGGGTCAGGCCACCATCCTTTTCATAAACACCATACACGTAGCAACTACCTGATGCCTTAATCGTTACAAGGGGACTGGTAAAAAGCAGATGGCATTCCTATGATGAGGAGCCATGGCAAACTTGACAGGCACTTCCCGAACCGCCATACTTATGCAGCTTCGTGACCGTTCTGGCTGCTGAGTATGGCCCGACGCTGCACAGAACCTCGAAGTGGGCCGTGATGTGTCAATGCTTTCGATCTCCTCGTTCCAATGTGATCCAGACCTGAAGCCAAGCCTTGCCACGACGCCTCCAAGTCATAGCCGGACATGTCGGCTCGCCCTGGGATGCCGGCAGCGATGTCGGCCTCGCCTCGCAGTTCGTTCCTGGCATGAGCAGCCGGGGCTAGTGCAGGTCTCGAGGGGGGGCGTCCCTCGTCACGAGAAGCGCGCTATTGGATTGCTCCTCATGGCGTGCCCCGGGCAGCCCCTCATGGGTCGGGGTCCTGATGAAATTTTATCAGATGATCTGATAAGATTAGATGGATCGCGGCAATATGATTGGTGATCTAGTACAGGGGTGCCCACTCAGTTCACGATGCCCCGGCTGTCTTGGCAATCAGATAACTCAGTCTCTAGGTATGCATACTGTCGGCCGAATAGCCAAGTTCTATGAGTCGGCGGTCTTGGCTCTCTTCGCGTTGCGACTTGAGCCGGGCTGGCCTTGCGCGACCTGATTATCTGGTGCAGGCATATAATCCCTCGCCCTGCCCAGGTAATTTTCAAAGGTTCTGCTGCCCTCTGGCTTCTCACTCGCTACGTTGTCTGTTTTGGCGCGCTTCTGATCCTGGATTGTGGTCTCTCGTTCCTTCATTCACTAAGCCCCATACCCAGTCAGAATGCGTTCGTTCGTTGCCTCTGCCCTGCTCGTCTCGAGCTCCGTGGCTGCCGCCTCGGCTTCCCTGGCTCCCAGCTGGGACTGGCCCGATGCCATGCCCATTGAGGCTCGTCAGGCCCCCGGCACCCCTCGGTTCCAGTGCCACGAGGACTGCGGTAAGCAGAGAGCACTCGAGGTCTGGCTCGCCAGGCCGACCTGCCGCGAACCCTCCCCCACTGACATTTCCAGGCACCACCATCTCGCTTAGCCGTGTCGAGGGCTACTGCACCAACGCCGAGTGGCGCGGCCGCTACGATGCGTGCATGATCTGCGCCAACACCGAGGGCATCTGGCAGTTCTACCGCAACGCCATCACGCCGGCCGCCGCTGCCTGCGGTCTCACGGCCGAGCCGTCGCCCAGCGGCTGGGTGCCGACGCCCACGTCCACGGAGGCACCGGCCCAGCCCAGCAGCGAGGCGCCCGTTGTACCGCCCAGCAGCGCCCCTGCTCCCGTTGACCCTGTCAGCAGCGCCCCTGCTCCTGTCGATCCCGTCAGCGGCGCCCCCGCCCCCGTCGACCCCACGAGCACCGCCGCCTCTGCCGTGACCAGCGCCGCCGTCTCTGCCGAGCAGCCCAGCGTCATTGTGCCCACCCCCGGGTCCTCGGCTGCCGGCGTTCCGGCCAGCAGCCTCATCAGCTCGGCCGCCGCCGGCGAGCCGACCTCTTCTGCCGTCGAGCACCCTGTCAGCAGCGGCGCCCCCTACCCCGTGGAGACGCACTCCCACGCGAACGGAACGGCCGCCCACACCAGCACAGCGCCCTGCGAGACCGACGCCAACGGCGTGCCCACCGGCCAGAGCAAGCCCACGACGCTCGTCACCAAGACGACCGAAGTCCCCGGCCACGTCGTCGTGCCGACCAAGTCTGCCGACGCTCCTGTGCAGCCCGCGCCCCCCGCGCAGACGCCCGGCACCGGCTCGCCTTCTCACGTTGCCACGGCGCCCGCCATCGTCGAGAGCGCCGATGCCACGGACGGCTCGGTGGTGAGTTTGCATCGTGCAGGTCTGGAGTTTGCGGACGAGTTTGCTGATCTGTGATTGCTAGCCTGTGCCTTCTGTTGTCGAGGTTAGCGGAGCCGGCAGAACGGTTGGATCGGCGATTGCTGCCGGTGTTGCTGCCATCGTGGCGGTTGCTGCTCTCTAGACAGCTCTCTAGACAGGAAGGGTGTGGTCAGTCGATCATTATGCACGATGACACCATGGTATGAGCTGATGGAACATGGTGTACATGCATATTCATGTCAATAGTTTTCTGACGTTGCTCGTTTGCATTGATGACGTGAATGGGAATGAGCTGTGATCGAGGCAGACAATATGGAGTGGCACTGTCACGTGTCAGCGTCTGTGTACATGGCGCTCTCGGATGTCTTCCGACGACTCGACCAGAGCTTCCACTTTGCGACTGCGCCCGCGCCCCTACACTACTGTAGGGTGTGCTAGTGTATGGCTCGACATGTCCGATCCTTGTCTGACACGGAGCAGATCGAGAGTCGAGACGCATGCTAGCGTGAGGCCGCCCGCGTGAGCCTCCCTCCATTCCAGAGCGGCGGCTCGTCAGAGGTCGCAGGAGGGGAGGCAGCAGGTGGGCAGCGAGGCACACCTTGTCACACCTGGAACTAGGTACCTGTGCACTGCAAACCGCCGGCGAGACAGAGGTACCTTTCGGGGTCCTCGCCTCTGTGAAGCTGCTGCATTCAGATCAGCCCATCCACGTGGAAACCGCCTGCGCCAAGAGAGAAGAGAGAAACACCCAGACCACGTCGTGTTCGTCAGGATCCATTGTGACTTGTACTTTTCTCTCGGGCGACTGGCGCCTGGTTTTGCACAGCCCTGTCGTTGTCGGAGGGGAAGAGGCGAACCAAGGGTGCGTGTGACTCTTCATCGACGGAACCGCTGTAGCGTCCTTCTCTACAGCGCTTGACGCAGCGGGCGGTGCCCCCGCGGATCGTCATGGAGGTCCCGAGCCCAGAGAGAGGGAAAGAGAGAGACAGAGACAGACAAGAGAGAGAGGGGCGGGCAAGAGTGGGCACGGGCAGGTAGGCAGTACCTGAGCAACAGGGCTAACCCAAGAACGTGCAAGAGCGGCTGTTCTACCCCTCACGCTGACGCTGTCGCTGCTGCTTCTGCTTGCCTCCCCGCCCATCAGCTCCTGCTTGCCTCGCTCATGCTCTGCACCCTCACTGGCTGCATCCTGGCTGAGGACGGAACCTACCCTGCCCTGCCTGCCTCCCTGGCACCCAGACAGGCCAGGCTACCTTACCTTTAATTCATCGAACCTGCCGCCCTCAGCCAACCAGCATCTCGCTTGTCGGCCCTGCCCCTACCCAACCCTGCCACTTCCTCCACCTCGACCTCCACCTTCGACTGCATCTCACGTCTGGCTCGGTCAATCAACCCATCATTACACCCTTTCCATACCTACCTACCTACCTACCTTCCTCTCACCATCCAGTAGTCTTATCTTCACCACCACACACACGTCCCCCTCACGAACTCTTGCAACGAGCCCATTACACACCACCTGCACCCGCCTCACGTACCCATCGCCATTGACCTAGGACGAATCCTTTTCCGTTCACCGTCACCGCCGCCGCAATGGCGCGCAATCAGCCCATGAGCATGGAGGCCATGCTGGACGAGGAACGTAAGGAGGTCCTCGCCCTGCTCGAGGGGCGCTCGTCCCCCGAGGCCATTCGCTCGACCTCGCCCTACACGACGCCTCGCTCGCCCGTCAGGAGCATGCTCGACGTCGTCGACGATGCCGCCAGCACTTCGAGCAAGAGCCCGCCCCGCGTCGCCCCCGTGCGCACATGCGTCGACGTTCGACAGCCCCCCATGCACCCCCGTGCGCAGGAGCATGGCTCGACAGTTGACGTCCCCGCCGCCGGCCACTTCTCCAGCGGCCCCAACTCGCCCGTCGAGTCGAGGTCCTCTTTCCAGTCCAACCGCGCCCCCGCCCATCACCCGCGCTCCATGTCCGACACGAGCTCCAAGCCCAGCTTTGGGCCTCGTGCCTCCATCGGCGGCCGTCTCGACCCCACCGCCGGCTACCAGTTCTCCGACATCAACACGAACAACATTGGCCAGGCCCTGCCCAAGAGGAACACCCAGGCCGCCAAGTTTGGCGCCTCGTCCTCGGGCAACGTCGGCAACACCAACGCCATGGCCGAGGCCCCGCGCGGCAGCGATCTCTCAAGCATCATCCTGCCGACCGACAGGACGGGGCGCCACGGCTCCGTCTC